CCAGCACCCCCAGCGGCAGCACTAGCACCAGTAGCACCCCCAGCTGCAGCACCGTCAACTCCAGCACCCTCAGAAGCACCAGCGCCAGCAGCACCTCCAGCGCCAACACCCCCAGCAGCTCCAGCTCCAGCCGGACCACCGGAAGACTCAACAGCCCCAGCTCCAGCACCTCCAGCAGCACCGGCTCCAGAAGCACCGCCAGCTCCAGCACCACCAGCAGCTCCAGCACAAGGAGCACCCCCAGGCCCAGCAGCTCCAGTACCTCCAGTACGAGCACCTCCGGGACCCGTGGCACCAGCACCCTCAGCAGCAGTAGAACCTCCACCTCCAGCAGCACCTCCAGCTCCAGCAGCACGGCTCCAGCGCCAAGCAAACTACTCGCGCCCCTCCTGTGGAGAGGGTAGCTCCCGCCGGGACGAAGCACCCGAAGGACCTCCAGACCCAGTACCGCCAGACTCCACACGAGCAGGCCCAGCACCCTCAGGCTCCGCACCCTCAGACTCAGCACCCCCAGGCTCAGCACCCCCAGGCTCAGCACCCCCAGACGCAGCACCCGCAGGCTCAGCACCCCCATACCCCGCACCCGCAGGCTCAGCACCCCTAGTAGCACCAGAGTCAACAGCTACCTCGACAGGCTTGACTGCGTCTACCTGGGACACACCTGAGGGGGCAGGACCCTGAGGGGGAAGGGGGTCTACCGGGGGGGGACCTGGTGCGAGGAAGAGCGGCGGCGGGGGGAGGGGCGCAGTGCGGTAGGGGAAGAGACGGTAGTAAGGAACCGACTCGTCAAACGTGACGTCCTGGGAGGACAGAACACGACGCGAGGTGGGGTGGTAAAACTGCCAACCAGGCGCGTCAGGGGGGAAGCCAAGGAAGACGCAGGGAACAGCACGGGGGGACAGCTTGTCCGCAGACAAGTCGTGGACAAAAGCCCGAGATCCCCAGACACGAAACGCAGACGCATCGCCAACCTTCCCCGTCCACAGCAGAGTAGGTGTGGTCTCCGGCACGGAGACCCGGGGCTGGAGGTTGATCTGATGCGCCGCGTACTAAACCGCAAACGGCCACAGAAAATGGGGAGCAGCCACATGGATCATGGACGTACGAGTGACGTCCATGACCATGCCAATGCGGCGCTCAGCAATCCCATTTGCTGTGGAGAGGCTGGAAGCGTGAATGTCTGGCGGATGCCCTCCGCACGACAGAAGGCCTACAGAAGGTCGGAGGAAAACTCTCCACCTCTGTCGGAGTGTAGACGCAGAACAGGAAGGTCCGAGCCGAAACTCTCGCTGAGCTGACGACGGGCAGCGCGGATCCAGTCGATCAGCACCTCAGTGACCTCATCCTTGCGGCGCAAGGGGAAGACTGTGGTGTAACGCGAGTAGTCGTCAACAACCAGCAGAAAGTAGTGCTCGTGACCCAGACCACGGACGCGGGCTGGGTCCCACACGTCCATGTGAAGAGTCTGCAAGGGAGCCTCCGTGGGAGGAAACTCGGAGGAGTGAGGGGCGGCGCGCTGCCGCCCCTCGACACAAGGAACGCAGGTAGGGGCAGGTCCCGTGGGGAGGGGAGGGAGAGGCCGGGGAAGACCAGTGACAAGGACACGGGAGGCCATGCCTCGGAGACGAGGTAGGGAGGGGTGACCAAGGTGGTGGTGCCTGAAAAGAGTCTGGTGAGACAGGAGGCAACACGAGCAGAGGGCAGACTCAGGACCAGACCGGGACGTTGCAGCAAACACCTGACCGGACGCAGCTACCTGACCAGACTCAGCAACCGGAGGAGACACGGTAGTCAGGGTGTACAGGCTCAACTTCAGGCTAACGAGTGAACGTGGCCAGGTGTCGGCCCGTCCAAGTACACGAACAGTGGATCACCCACTGACCTCCAGGAGTGAACTGGTCAACCCAGGCGTCCTGAAGGTCAGCTCCTCTCACCAAGTTCGTGGAGAACGAGGGGGGGTGGAGGCCAGACAGAGAGCCAGATGGGACCGCCGGACACGGCAGGACCGTGGAGGAGTGTGCAAGGACCGGACCCCCAGAGGGGTCAGCCAAAGAGACTGCCACTGGCCGACTGAGCGGCGAGAGTGTGGTGCAGTCGCGAAAGAAGGAGCGGGAAGCACCCGAGTCAAGGGTGAAAGTGTGTAAGGCCTGAGCCGACGCGGTACCTGAGAGAGCAGACTCACCAGTACCTGGGGCAGCAGACTCACCAGCACCTAGAGCAGCAGACTCACTAGCACCTAGAGCAGCAGCCTCAATGCCCGGGTCGGGCGGAACACACAGGTAACACTCACCCTCCACACTAATAGACACAGCATACATAGCAGCAAGGATAGCATCATAATCAAGATCAAAGATAGCAACCCCGGAATTAAGCAGATCACCCCAGCGAGGGATCTCAGAGGAGTCGGGAAACTGCGTACGCCAAGCGTCAGTCAGGTGGCCAAAGCAGCGCTGTGTGGCGTGCGGTCCTCCACACGTCTCCCCACTGCGGTCGCCGGTGCGGAGAACGTAAGCGCAAGGACCAGCACCCCCAGACCTCCCACGCCCAGCGTACCACTCACGAAGCTGCTGGGGCGACAAGGTCTCACGAGGGCGCTACTGCTGCTGGCGCTGCCCACCGCCAAAGCCTCCCCGCTGCACAGCGACACCTCGACCAGCACCACCGCCACTGCCACCCCCACCGCCACCGCTGCCGCCACCACCTCCACCCCCACTGCCGCTGCCTTCGCTGTCTCCACCTCCACTGCCGCCACCGAAGCCCCCACTCCCGCCACCACCCCCACCTCCATCCCCACCACCTCCGCCGCCTGCACCGCCACCACCGCCGCCCCCGCCGTCTCCTCCAGCACCCTTGCCCCCCTTGCTCCTGCCGCTGCGGCGCCTCCTACTAGGAGCAGACGCAGCGCCGACCGACTCGGTGCCAACGAGGTCGACAGCAGTAGCAGAGGCAACAGAAGGCAAAAGAGGAACAGGGGAGCACCCCTCAAAGAAAGGGGCACGAGGGTCACCACGAGAGGCTCCTACAGCGACTATACTCTTTTCAGCTGCTAGGAGGCGCTCCTCAAGGAAGTCAACGGTGAGCGTGGTGGGGCAAAGGGAGAGGAAGTGGTCCGTGACCGAGCGAAGGGAGTTAGGGAGCCGGGTGACGAGGTAGTAGAGAGTGATGTACATAAGGGGGGGGGGGGGGGGGGGTTGGCGCAGAGCTTGGCAGGAAGCGCAGCGCGATAGTGGGTGTCACTAGTGCGGAGGTGCGTAATGAGGTCAGCGACTGTGGCAAAAGCAGCTAGGTCAGGGAACAGGTACGGCAGCATGAGGCGGCTAAGGGCAGCAGTGGCAGGGGAGGAGTAGCGCGCAACAACAGCGTCGTACAGAGTCCTAGCAGTCTTGTACTGGCTAAAGTGCGCGCGCTTAGCAGACGGCAGGTGACTGCGAATAGCAAGACGGGCAGTAGCATCGCGCGTGGTCCACTGCAAGCGAACAGCACTGTCAGCATCGGCAGCATGTGCAGCAGAGGCGCCAGACGTGAGATCAAAAAGCGAGACTCCGTCCTTGCTATCGCAATGCAGATCTAGCTGCAGATCATCGGCCCAGACCTCAAAATCGACCGCTCGACCCTCAGCATCGAAGGTAAGGGTCTAGGGTTTAGGGTTTAGGGTTTAGGGTTACATTAGGGCTAGACATGACAGCAGGAGCAGCAGCAGTATCCTAGCAGCAGCAGTAGCAGCAGGAGCAGCGCGACTCGGCAGGGCGGCGCGGCTCGGTAAGGCGGCGTGGGTGCGGCGGTGCGCTTACCAGTGGCGGGAGGGGAGAGTAGAGGCCACGACTGGTGGGGCAGGGCCGTGGCGCGGCGGTAGGGTAGGGGCCGCGACAAGGCGGCAGAGCAGGGCTGCGGCTCGGCGGCAAGACATGGCCGCGTCAGGGCAGCAAGGCAGGGCCGCGACGACAGCGGCGGTTGCACCGGCGGCTGGAGGCTCGACGGCGGCAGCAGAGCCGCTACGGTGGCAGCAGGGGCGACGGCTGCTGCAGGCCAAGGGGCCTCGACGGCTGCTGCAGGGGAAGGGGCCGCGACGACGAGGCGGGCGGGCCGTGGAGGGCCGCAATGACGGGCGGGCCGGCCACGCAGGGCCGCGACGAAAAGGTGGGGGGGGCGCGTAGGGCCGCGACGAAGGGGCGGGCGGGCCGCGCAGGGCCGCGACGAACGGGCGGGCGGGCCGCGCAGGGCCGCGACGAAGGGGGCGGGCGAGCCGCGCAGGGCCGCGACGAAGGGGCAGACGGGCCGCGCAGGGCCGTGACGAAAGGGCAGGCAAGCCGCTAAGGGCCGTGTAAGGGCGGCAGGGCGGGCCTCTAAGGGCCGCGACGTCAGGGTGGGCCGCTAAGGGCGGCCGTAGGGCAGAGCCCGAGGCGCACTTCGGGCAGGGCAGGAAAAAGAAAGTTTCAAGTGGTGGGCCCTTAAAAAAAACGGTCCCACTAGGGAACCCGCTCTATACCATGTGAAATTGTACAAGGAATGATGTAAGCTAGGAAGCAGGTGGGTACAAATATGAAAACCTAAAAGAGTTGTACCCCATATTGTCAACCCCACTACAGCCTACAATATGGTTCTGACACAGACAAGTCAACATCTGCCACACCGGCGCCTGCCTCTCCCGCCCCACCCCCCTCACCCGACTCACCCTCGGATGTTGCGGCAAACCTTTCCATAACTTTTTGTGCTGCGGAAATAGGAATGTCCGGAGAATCTGCTTCAGCCTGCATTCGCGAAAGGTTTGGTGTGGCAGCAACCCTGGCCGAGGGGGGATTTTCGACCCTTATGGGTCCAGTCAGCCCTTTGAGTTTTGCTCCCAATCCTGCCAGAGCCTTCTGAATCGCCTTGAAAGTCTGCTGTTTTTCGTCGTCCGCAGTTTTGAGATCCTTCCACACTTCGTATACGCTATTGGCAATAGCCAACTGCAGATGTTTCATGGCAATGGGTGCGATCGTGGCCTCCAGCTTCCCCCCTGTTCACGCTTGCTCTATCGCCTGCTCCACCACACCCTTCAGCTTCTCCCCAAACGTCTCGAAAAACCCGACTAACTTTTCCTGCAATGCTCCCACAGCCGCTGCGGCAGCTTCTCGGCCTGCATCAGCTGCTGCCGCTCGTGCCTCGGCGGCAGACGTCGAAAGAGCAGTACGCAATTGGACGAGCTCCTCGCGCTCCCGGACCACTGAATCCTTGAGCATGTGGTACTCGTGCGTTAGATCGTCGTAGTCCCGCAAGTAGCGCATGTCCCATTCTTGCATCTGCGAACCAAACTGGCAAATCTCGGCCATGCATTCGCTGAAGCGGACACCTTGCTCCGACGAAATTCTGGCCACAGATCTCGCAACCAACGTCAGACGCCGTATTAACTTCGACGTGGTATGCACCTTGCCGCTAGCTGCGATGCAGTCGCCGGCCTCCTCAAATCCACCCGCCGTCTCCTCGAAAACCTGTGGCCCAGCATTCTCCTGTTCCTGAAGAACCCTCTCCACAGCCACCCATTCACCCTCCTCCAGTTCCTCTGCCTGCATTGCAGAGGATTCTCTGCCGCAGGTGGACGGCGCCTCTGAATAGGGAGCGCACTCGCCGCACTCTCCAGCTCCTCTTCCACTCGTCCTCCCTCCACTGCCCATCCCACCCCATGCCAAACCTGCTCCTCCGCAACTCTCTCACCCTATAGCGTTCGACACGCTTCACCCTCTCGCCGACCAGCTTGCCTTGACTACTCGAGCCTCATACGGTCTCCCTCGCCAACCCTGTTCCGAGTTGTTTGATCATCACGCCGGCCACCATCCCGATGAATCACCACTCTAGCACCGTCAGTTCCCATCCCCGCTGAACCCACCTCCGCTGCCCGATGAAACGTCGTCCCCTGCTGCCCATCGGTTGCCTGCTCGCCAACCACCACTTGTCGTGCTCCTTCCCCTGCACCCTACCCCGCTTGCATTCGAAAGACCCTCGCGCCCCTATGGCCCTCACGCACCCGCTGTGACGAGTTCCATCACGCCCCCGCTGCCCTCCAGCACCTGTTCACCCAACCCAGCAACCTCTCTTTGCCTTTCGTGCCTCAGCAGAGCGCCCCCCATCCTTTTTGCGCGCTTCTCACCCCCCGGCCTCCAGCCTCTTTTGCTCTCGCTCGTCCTTGTCCCTCGCCTCCTTTCCGAGCGTTTCTCGCTCCTTGGCCTCAAGCCGCTTCCGTTCCCGTTCCTCCTCCTTTTCGCGCTCCACATTCCTCGCCTCCTCCCTCTTCCGCTCTTCATCCTCCCTCTGCTGCTTCTCCTCCTTTTCGCGCTCAATCTTACTCGCGTCCTCCCTCTTTCGATCTTCCTCCTCGCGTTTTCTCTCCTCCTTTTCGCGCTCCACCTTCCTCGCCTCCTCCCTCTTCTGCTCTTCCTCCTTCCTCTGCCGTTTCTCCTCGTTTTCGCGCTCCACATTCCTCGCCTCCTCCCTCTTCCGCTCTTCCTCCTCCCTCTGCCGATTCTCCTCCTTTTCGTGCTCGATCTTACTCGCGTCCTCCCTCTTTCGCTCTTCCTCCTTGCGTTTTTTCTCCTCCTTTTCCTCCTCCCTCTGCCGCTTCTCCTCGTTTTCACGCTCCACATTCCTCGCCTCCTCCCTCTTCCACTCTTCCTCCTCCCTCTGCCGATTCTCCTCCTTTTCGCGCTCGATCTTACTCGCGTCCTCCCTCTTTCGCTCTTGCTCCTTGCGTTTTTTCTCCTCATTTTCGCGCTCCACCTTCCTCGCCTCCTCCCTCTTCTGCTCTTCTTCCTCCCTCTGCCGCTTCTCCTCCTTTTCGCGCTCGACCTCACTCGCGTCCTCCCTCTTTCGCTCTACCTCCTCCTTCTGCCGCTTCTCCTCCTTTTCGCGCTCCACCTTCCTCGCCCCTCTTCTGCTCTTCCTCCTCCCTCTGCCGCTTCTCCTTTTTTTCGCGCTCGATCTTACTCGCGTCCTCCCTCTTTCGATCTTCCTCCTCCTTCTACCGCTTCTCCACCTTTTCGCGCTCCACATTCCTCGCCTCATCCTTCCGCTCTTCCTCCTCCCTCTGCCGCTTCTCCTCTTTTTCGCGCTCGGTCTTACTCGCGTCCTCCCTCTTTCGCTCTCCCTCCTCCTTCTGCCGCTTCTCCTCCTTTTCGCGCTCCACATTCCTCGCCTCCTCCCTCTTCTGCTCTTCCTCCTCCCTCTGCCGCTTCTCCTTTTCGCGCTAAACCTTCCTCGCCTCCTCCCTCTTCCGCTCTTCATCCTCCCTCTGCCGATTCTCCTCCTTTTCGCGCTCAGCCTTATTCGCGTCCTCCCTCTTTCGCTCTTCCTCCTCCTCCTGCCGCTTCTCCTCCTTTTCGCGCTCCACATTCCTCGCCTCCTCCCTCTTTCGCTCTACCTCCTCCTTCTGCCGCTTCTCCACCTTTTCGCGCTCCACATTCCGCGCCTCCTCCCTCTTCCGCTCTTCCTCCTCCCTCTGCCGCTTCTCCTCATTTTTGCGCTCAACCTTACTCGCTTCCTCCCTCTTTCGCTCTCCCTCCTCCATCTGCCGCTTCTCCTCCTTTTCGTGCTCAACCTTACTCGCATCCTCCCTCTTCCGCTCTTCCTCCTCCCTCTGCCGCTTCTCCTCCTTTTCGCGCTCAACCTTACTCGCATCCTCCCTCTTTTGCTCTTCCTCCTCCTTCTGCCACTTCTCCTCCTTTTCGCGCTCGACCTTTCTCTCGTCCTCCCTCTTTCGCTCTTCCTCCTCCTTCTGCAGCTTCTCCTCACTTTCGCGCTCCGCCTTGCTTTTCTCCTCCCTCTTCTGCTCTTCCTCCTCCCACTGCCGCTTCTCCTCTTTTTTGCGCTCCACACGCCTCTGTTCCTCGAGCCTCTGATTTTCCTCCCTCTGTCTCGCCTCCTCGTTTTCGCGTTCCTCCCTCTCCCCCTCCGTTTTGCGCACCCTTCACCCCTCTTCGTCAAGCCTCTTTCGCTTTTGTTCCTCCGGCTGATGCGCATCCTCATCGTCGCGTAATTCCTGCCCCCTGTCTTCCCTCTTCTTCGTCCGTGCCTCCCGCCTCTGATACACCAACCTACTCTTCTTGGTTTCCGGCCCCTGCCTCTCATCGTCTACTTCGCTAAAGACATTCAGACTCCCATGACTCTTTTCCATACCCCGCTCCTGCCCTTTATCATTCTTGATCGTGAGGTGCACGTCTTCTAAAGCCATTGCAAGATCCTCCTCCATCCTTTCCCCCTCATCCCTCTGCTGTAGGGCCTCCGATCCGCAACGCTGGGATTCCTTGTGTGTGGCCCTCTACTGGGTCTCCCTCATTCCACACATGATTTCGCGTGCATTCTCCCTTGGAATGGGTGGCTCCCCATCCACGTCGCTCTGACAGGCATTGGCCAGACCGATTCGTGCGCCGTCAGCAACAAGGGCCCCCAACGCGACTATTTCCGCGTCAACCACGGGCGGGGCACCCGTGTCCTCAGCGGGGGCCCCAAGTTGGGCCAGGCTGTCCTCCTCCTCCCTCGAACACTGATCCTCACCGGCCGCCAGTTTGTCGAAATACTTAGCGCAGGTGGTCAGAATATCATCTAAAATATCCTCCCGCTGGTAATTTGGGGTTCCCAGCCCGATAAAATTTTCAGCTCGATTCGACTGCCGGAGAATCGAGTCAGAATGATCGAGCACCTTACACCACTGGTACGCTACATGAGAACCGCTCCCAACTTCCCTCGAGGCGATCATCCGAGCTAGCTTCTGCATGAACCCGAAATTGAACAGATTAGCACTTATCCTGTTTCGAGTAACAAAATGGAAGACAAGTTTGCACCGCGAACTAACTCCCGCATTGTCAAGCTTCCAACCGCTCGTAATCCGGCTCCTGATGTCGCGAAATATTTCCTTCTCCTCTAGGCCGAGGTTTGTTTCTCCTCGAGATACCTCCATCAAAAGCTGCACCTCCAGCCATCTGCTCAACATATGAGTTTCCGATAAATTTAGTTCCTGTTCTACCATGACGTTTACAAGCACATATGATGATCTAAAAGAACGGGGTACTTACTTGACAACCTCTTGGGCGAGATTGGTGTGCCTGTGTGGTGGAGACAGTAACTAAGGATCGAAATGCAAAAGACGCGTCGCAACGTAATACCCCAGCTCGTCGGCCAAACTGTCGGGCCGGAAAGGTAAAAAAAGGCTACAGCGGGCTCGAGGTTCTTCAGTAATTCTGCATGGGGTCATGTGGCGAAAGTTTATCCAGCGCGTAGAATCTAAAACAATCGGAAAACCCATGTATGTTTCGAGGACTAAACAGTCACGCAGAAAGGAGCACAGTTCGACCTGACCTGGACCAAAGCGGGAAGACAACCAGTTGCTTGTAGAGCATTCCTGCGCGTCTGCCAGGACCCATGGGTTCGTAAGGACGTTTCGCCCTGGCCTTGTTGACCTTGCTCATGGGGACGATTTCAACCTTCGAAAGCTGCTCCGCAGTCGGCCTCTCCTTTGCAAGCATCCTGAAAGCAACATAACACGAACATTAAAAGAACTCAAGGCGATCGCTGCCCTACACTTCTGTTTACGCCAATCGCGTTTTCGAAAATATGGGTCTGTCGTGGAGAGCTAAAGTATATCTGTTCGGAAAGCCCGATCGGTTCCGCCAATGATATCAGTCGCGAGAAAATACCCTCGAAAAATGGCACAGCTGCAAGAGCTCGTAGGTTGTACAACAATGCGATCGCTACAACGCATACTCTTGTCAGAGAGTACGTTAATCTCGAAAACAGCCACCACTCTTAGAGCGCTAATCCTACAAGTACATCTTACACCAACAAGAAGTTGAGCGTATTCTCGGTCCATTCCCCACGCTTGTGTCGCATGTTCTCGAACTCTACCCGTGAGAGGCGCATACGCAAGCCTGCAGCCTCGACTTCCATCGAAGGCTCCATCGACTAAGGGAAGGAAGCAGAATAGCTGCAATGAAGAGAAGAAGCTGAAGAAAAGTGGAAGAGATGTTGTGAAATAAGAAAAAGACCTCCGTTCGACTATTATACGCGCTCCCCTCTTACATGAGCCGTACTTTCAGGACATTGTTCAAGACATGGTTGTGGCTACAAGTACGGGCACTTAACAAAGGCTGTGCAAGAATTGCGGTATGAATCCCGTTGGGAGTCTTGCTCTAAAAGCCAGACCAGACCAGTGGGGACCCATGCAATGTTGTACTGGACTGTAAATTTCTGTCAGCCATCATATCTCGACCAATCATAATCATCCCCGCGAGATTTTCGAGGGTTTCTCCTCTGCGCCGCCACGTGGTTCTCTAGCATTTGCGAATCGAATGCATGCAAAGGTGGTCGATTCCGGAAATTGGCTGCTTCCTCTGCTAATACTTACCCTGGACCACTCGGAAATTAGCAACGCAGTCCATTGCACGTCGGCCGTCGAAAAACTACTTTGTATGCGCCGAAACAAATCAAGGGCCAACCCTTCACATCGCAAAACTACGGGCTCGTCCTATCCACTTCGAAAATGACCTTCCCATTTTTAGCGCTAAAGGGAAATACACCCAGCCAAATAATGTAGACATCCTAAACCAACAAAATTGCAAGGATAGCCACCAAATCCCTAACAAGTCCCACAAATCACACACATGGAAGATGTAATGCATTCTTACACCATGTCAATAACTATTAGAAGAGGCAATATGAATAGGCATCTGAAGGAAACACACCAAAAAAATGGTATAAACTCTCAAGCAAGCAAGCAATCATTTTCACAAATTTTCCTTATTGCACCTCCAGTTTGACACGAGATAGATGATGTACCAGCGATTCCAACCCTAAAGAAGCTTTGAAACACAACAAAGAACAAAGCAAAAAGAACAAAATTGTTTTGATGCGGGGGTGGTTGGGACGTGGAGGGGTGAAGAGGTGGGGAAGAATGTGGCATAGGAGAGGAGACAACTGGTGGGTTATAACACACCTATGTGCGGCCTTTCGAGTTTAGATATTAATAAGAAAAAAAAAGTGCCACAACTGACCAGGTGTCGTTGAATCAAAGGCAGTGAGAGCTGGAGGGCACTCCTCCAAAGAACAGCTCTGGGATGGGGGGAGGAAGTGTCAAGACGTGAAACAGAAGAGAAGAGAACAATACCGAATCAGAATGAGAAGAGCCTCTTGCCGTACGCTGTTATCTGAATTGAAGCAAATTCCCCCCCCCCCCCCCCCCCCTACTGCAAATGTACCCCTTTTGTTTGAGGTTGTTTTTGAGAATTCTCAAAATCAACCTCACACAAAATGTATTCCCGCTACTACAAATGTACCCTCCCTGTCTCTTCCTCCTCCCCTTCCCCCCAAAACTCCCCATCCCTTCCCCTAGTCACTCTCTTTCTCTTCTTAACCCCCACAAAAAACACCCTCCCTTTTGCAGCCACTCACTCTGCCGCCACAGGCTACAGTCCAGGTCAGCCCTGAACTGCTGCGGATTGTCCAGAACAATGGATTCTTTCCACGTGTCACCACCACTGCAACTGCAGCAGAACCCCTGAATAGGGGCAAAAGGAAACACAAGAACAGGATTTGAGAAAGTCTACGTTCAGAGACTGTGTGCGGTTAATATAAATATAATTCACACTGCTGTCATAAGCACCACCTAACCTGGTTGCTCTACTAAGCGTGAATCTTCTCATTCAACTGGCTGTAGGGCTCTCTGGACCCGTCCGGATAGAAGAACCATCCACATGTGGGATCCGTGAGAACCCTAAAAGTAGCATGCCTACAACATGTAAGCTTCTCTTAACTTGCTGTAGGGCACTCAGGAGCTGTCGGGATAGAGGAAGCAACCACACATAGGAATACTGTAATACGCACCATCCCTGCACCCCGTTGCTCAGGTGAGTGGGCGACTCTCAGAGTGTGGAATCACCTGGCTGTTGGGCACTCTTGTGCCGTCCGAGAAGAGAAACCAGCCACATGTGGGATCCGTGAGAACCCTGAAAGTAGCATGCCTGAGAATTCTTACCTGGCTGTTGGGCACTCTGGTGCCATCAGGGTAGAGAAACCAGCCGCAGGTGGGGTCGCTGTCATACGCACCGTCCCTGCACCACGTTGTAGTCACTACCACCACTACCCAGTTGCTCAGGTGAGGTGACTGGTTGACTCTCAAAGTATGGATTCACCTGGCTGTTGGGAACCCTGGAGCCGTCAGGATAGAGAAACCAGCCGCAGGTGGGGTTGCTGTCATATGCACCGTCCCTGCACCCCATTGTAGTCACCACCACCTCATACGGTCGGCCATTGAAGGACTGCCACGTGGCAATCAGGCGGAGAGTGGAAAGGGCAGGGGGGAGAAAAGGTCAAGAAAACACGGTTAAAAACAATTACGAGATCTTGATACGCTCGCACATAACACCTCCTCTGCCCTCAAGGATGCCACATGAATGCGAGGGGAGGGGTTACATGAAACACGGGCATAGAATTTTGACACGCCTCAAGATGCCCTCACGGAAACCACAGCTCCGGGCTGACCTGCAGGAACGTGAGAGGGTACACGGCATAGACTGGTGTCTTCACCGCCTCCCGGGCCTTACCTCCTTCTACTGCCTACGCGAGAACAAGGCTTACCTGCAGGAATGTGAGAGGATACGCGGCATAGACCGGTGTCATCACCAAGGTGATCTTCACAGGTTCTGCTAACCTCCTCTCCACTCCCTCCGCCCCAACCCCGCTCCTTACCTGTTCCTGCTGCTCGGCTGCTTATGCTTCGTTGCTGCCTGCTCGAGATCAAGGCTTACCTGCAGGAACGTGAGAGGGTACAAGGCGTAGACTGGCGTCTTCACCTCTGTGATCTTCACAGGGTCTGCTAACCGCCTCCCAGGCCCTTACCTCCGTCTGCTGCCAGCACTACATCAACCTTACCTGCAGGAACGTGAGTGGGTACACAGCATAGACTGGTGTCTTCACCACCGTGATCTTCACAGGGTCTGCTAACCTCCTCTCCAATCCTGCCCCTCCTTTTCCTCCTCCTCCTCCCCCTCCTCCTCCACCTCCTCCTCCTGCCACAGTGCCATTCCCTCCTCCTCCATCTCCTCCCTCGGTGCTGTTTTCTCCTGCTCCTCCGCCATCACCTCTCTCGCTGCTGTTTCCTCCCGCACTTCTGCCATCCCCTCCTTTGCCGATATTTCCCTTGCTGCTGTCTCCGTTTCTTCCACCAGCAGCACTTGTGCTGTCATTGACGCGAGTCAGCACTGCCTATTGCCTCTGTGCCTAGCGTCTGGAGGGGAGGAAGAGGAGGGAGAAGAGGCAGGAGAAGAGGAGGAAGAAGAGGAGGGAGGAACAAGAGGAAGAATATAAAAGCACTTGTGCTGTTTTTCGAGGTTTTTCAAGGGGGTTGGATTTCTGTGTGAAGTTTCTTGGTGAAGCAGGCCTGTGTGGACTCACATGACCGTTGGAGACAGCAAGGGACAAGGTGATCTTCCCCCAGCCACGAAGAGGGGTGATTTCAACTGAATGGATAGCACATGGACTCACATGACCGTTGGAGACAGCAAGGGACAAGGCGGTCTTCTTCACTGCACTTCACTGACTTGGCCCCATTGGATACATCCCCAAGAAGAGGGGTCACCTTAAAAGAATGGATAGCACATGGGCCCACATGACCGTTGGAGACAGCAAGTGATATGACGATCTTCTTCCTGCACTTCACTGACTTGGCCCCTTCCGGTATGTAACTCGGCTGCTGCTGCTCCCCTCCTCCCCAGTCCCCCCCAGGAACTGTTCCAGCCGCAGTAGTAGCAGCAGATTCCCCACCGGCAACCCCCAAATCAGCAGCATCAGTACCAGCAAGCCCCCCATCAGCCACACATTTAGTGAGGTCGCTCTTAGCGATGATGCCTGCTGCACACAGCAGCACGCCCCTCGATAGCTTCCCATCTGTCTGATCCCCGGCAGGCACGATCTGGTCCATCCATTTGTCGACATCTAGCAGCAGCAGAGCCACCAAGAGCAAGAAGTGCCAAAATGCTCAATGCATTCTCGAACTACTTTTGGTCAAAGTATGCCAATCCGGTGCTGCTTATCCTGCCACTGTCTCTTCTAAAATTTCGTGGTTCAATGCTCAACGAGATTCAGCACCGGAGTGATCCCGACTAGGCCCTGATTCCCTACTAGGCCTCATCATCACGAGGCATGGCAAACAGCTGGCAGTAGACGCCAGAAATTTGCAGCTAAATTTCTCAAGAAAAGAAGAAGAAAAGAAACATATGATTTTCCCTGGGAACATTTGATTCTCCCCGTTCCCGTTTCCTCCCAATTTCTCTCTCTGTCTCCTCTCTCTCCCTTACCCCTGACGATCCCTCTCCCTCTTCGCTCACTCTCCATGCCTCATTTCTTAGTCTTGCCTTTCCCGTTGTCGCCTTAAAACCGGAGTCCCAAACAGCCCCAAAGTGCCTCAACCTTCCTAACTTTGAGAAGGGGTGACCCAGTAGGTACCGACTCACTTTGCAAATCGGGGGGACAATTTTTGTCACGCGAAAAAAGTTGTTCTAGCAAGGATGAAAGCAGTGACGATTTCGCCAACAAATTTGAAGCCCGTCCGAAACTGTCTGCGAACCAGTTCTGACGTTGCATTCCAGATCTGTTTTATTTCGCGAAATTTTCTTCCTTAGCGACCCCAGACCACCAATTTCGACACCACCCTGGCTCGCGAGCCAGTCACATTTCTCTCCCCTTTCAACCTTCCTAACTTAGAAACTCTTGGACCTCCGGTTTTAACGACTTTCTCACGAATTACCAAACATTTTCGCAGGTTTCTCATTGACTTCGCCTCTCTCCTACGGCTGGCATGGCAGCGCACTTGTTGTTTGCACACAGTGTTCGCCCGCCGGACGCGTGACTTGATGGTATTCAAGTTCGCGTCACGCGGAGCTACAATTACCGGAGGGAAAACGCTCGGTTGGTACAAGCATCCTCTTTTGAGTCGACTTTTGAGTCGACTCAAAAGCACACCCGCCGGAGGTGTCACACGGAACTACTACCACCACCGACGGCATGAGAAAACGCTCGGTTCCGTACAAAGAGCCGCTCGCGGAATCATTTCGCGTAGCAAATGATTGCTCCGCACACGGAAGGCGACTGATTCTTCGCGGATCCGTCGACGAACCGCGTGACCGTTGGAAGCGAGGCCGATGGTCGTATAGCTCGAGCCGCGAGCTCGAGAAGACGGAAAATAGAGCCGTTTGAGATAACAGGGAATTTTCCGGATGGCAATCGAGCTGCTAGATGCTCTTCACCCCGAACGCTTCTGCGTGATGGCTGTAACGTCGTACGTTACAGAAGTGGTTGGCGAGCCGCTACTAAGGGGAAACCCGTTAACGTTAACAAACGGGTGGTGGGGATAAACAGCTCGCTTCGTTCCCCACGCCCTCAGTGGCGAGTGAACAAACGGGTTCATTGCCTGGAGCCGTCGCATGGAGCTGGGAGATGACTTAACGAGAATGACATTAATGAACGCAAGGATGACATTCATGAGCTGGGTGCCATCACAAAAAACTGGGCCTGAAAACAGGCGGTTTTGGTTAGGTTTTCTGCCCAACCAATGGAAATCCGTCGGAACACTCTCAACTTGTTCCGACGGAATTCCACCGAGTGGCGCACTGGTATCGTCACTGTATTTTCCGTCGGTTTTCCATCCCGAAGGGACTGGATGATTTCCGATGGAAAGCAGACACGGTTTCCGGCGGATTTCCACCACCATCGCGCTTCGGTCGAAACGAGACTCCCTAGCAATAAATATGATAAAATATTTTACTGTACAGTCAAAACATGGACAATGTAAGCGTTGCAACACCCAATTTTATTTCCTACATATTTCATACCAATAATTATTAATATGTAGCTAAACCTGAACGATTTCAAATGATACTAATAGGTTGTTTTGCTTCACCTGAAGAAAAATGTGTCTACAAACATAAATTATTCAGTCAATAAAAGCAACAAATCCGGGAAACATGCTGCGCTACTGCAAAACAGTAGTCGTCTTCTTGAATCCAGCTGCGTAGTCACTCGCATCAATGAGGATGCCGTTGCCAAACACAAACACCTCCCTGTCTTCATCATAGCTCACCCCAAGGTTGGTGACGGCATGCTCCACCCACTTCCGGCACCACTTTACTTTCTCCTCGTACAATGGCCTGTTGTAGTCGGGTTTGCTGCTCAACTTCTCGTCGGCGGTCTTCTCCAAGATCGGGTATTCCAAGTGCAATGAACGATAATGGCAATAAGATTCTGGAGAGGATGGAACAAAAAAATCAAAATCAGAATCAAGGGGCTTGTACTTACAGCGAACAATGCAAAAGCAATCTGGCGGGTCTTCCATACCCCCAGTGCCATGCCCGATCTCACGAATGCAGCGAAAATTCCCGCACTGAAGATTTCGCTCGAAAAAGGCCACTTCGTGTTGTCGTCTACGTGCCAGTCCGGTCCCCACTCTTCTGTAAAGTGGTAAAAGGGAGTTCAGGAAAGAGTGAATAAGGCAGGGGCGAGACGGAGATGGGGGGAAAGGAGCAGGTTAGGCACCTTCTACGCCCTGCAGTGGCTCTGCCAGGCAGAGAGTAAGGCAGGGGCGAGACGGAGATGGGGGGAAAGGAGCAGGTTAGGCGCTGCCGTGCCTTGCAGTGGCTCTGCCAGGCAGAGAGTAAAGGAAGGGGCGAGACAGAGATGGGGGGAATGGAGCAGGTTAGGCACCTTCTACGCCCTGCAGTGGCTCTGCCAGGCAGAGAGTAAGGCAGGGGCGAGACAGAGATGGGGGGAAAGGAGCAGGTTAGGCGCTGCCGTGCCTTGCAGTGGCTCTGCCAGGCAGAGAGTAAGGCAGGGGCGAGACGGAGATGGGGGGGAAGGAGCAGTTTAGGCACCTTCTACGCCTTGCAGTGGCTCTGCCAGACAGAGAGTAAGGCAGGGGCGAGACAGAGATGGGGGGAAAGGAGCAGGTTAGGCACCTTCTACGCCCTGCAGTGGCTCTGCCAGGCAGAGAGTAAGGCAGGGGCGAGACAGAGATGGGGGGAAAGGAGCAGGTTAGGCACTGCCGTGCCTTGCAGTGGCTCTGCCAGGCAGAGAGTAAGGCAAGGGCGAGACAGAGATGGGGGGAAAGGAGCAGGTTAGGCACCTTCTACGCCCTGCAGTGGCTCTGCCAGGCAGAGAGTAAGGCGGGGGCGAGTCAGAGATGGGGGGAAAGGAGCAGGTTAGGCACCTTCTACGCCCTGCAGTGGCTCTGCCAGGCAGAGAGTAAGGCAGGGGCGAGACAGAGATGGGGGGAAAGGAGCAGGTTAGGCGCTGCCGTGCCTTGCAGTGGCTCTGCCAGGCAGAGAGTAAGGCAGGGGCGAGACAGAGATGGGGGGAAAGGAGCAGGTTAGGCACCTTCTACGCCCTGCAGTGGCTCTGCCAGGCAGAGAGTAAGGCAGGGGCGAGACAGAGATGGGGGGAAAGGAGCAGGTTAGGCGCTGCCGTGCCTTGCAGTGGCTCTGCCAGGCAGAGAGTAAGGCAGGGGCGAGACGGAGATGGGGGGGAAGGAGCAGTTTAGGCACCTTCTACGCCTTGCAGTGGCTCTGCCAGACAGAGAGTAAGGCAGGGGCGAGACAGAGATGGGGGGAAAGGAGCAGGTTAGGCACCTTCTACGCCCTGCAGTGGCTCTGCCAGGCAGAGAGTAAGGCAGGGGCGAGACAGAGATGGGGGGAAAGGAGCAGGTTAGGCACTGCCTTGCCTTGCAGTGGCTCTGCCAGGCAGAGAGTAAGGCAAGGGCGAGACAGAGATGGGGGGAAAGGAGCAGGTTAGTCACCTTCTACGCCCTGCAGTGGCTCTGCCAGGCAGAGAGTAAGGCGGGGGCGAGTCAGAGATGGGGGGAAAGGAGCAGGTTAGGCACCTTCTACGCCCTGCAGTGGCTCTGCCAGGCAGAGAGTAAGGCAGGGGCGAGACAGAGATGGGGGGAAAGGAGCAGGTTAGGCGCTGCCGTGCCTTGCAGTGGCTCTGCCAGGCAGAGAGTAAGGCAGGGGCGAGACAGAGATGGGGGGAAAGGAGCAGGTTAGGCACCTTCTACGCCCTGCAGTGGCTCTGCCAGGCAGAGAGTAAGGCAGGGGCGAGGCAGAGATGGGGGGAAAGGAGCAGGTTAGGCACCTTCTACGCCCTGAAGTGGCTCTGCCAGGCAGAGAGTAAGGCAGGGGCGAGACGGAGATGGGGGGAAAGGAGTAGGTTAGGCACCTTCTACGCCCTGCAGTGGCTTTGCCAGGCAGAGAGTAAGGCAGGGGCGAGACGGAGATGGGGGGAAAGGAGCAGGTTAGGCACCTTCTACGCCCTGCAGTGGCTCTGCCAGGCAGAGAGTAAGGCAGGGGCGAGACGGAGATGGGGGGAAAGGAGCACGTTAGGCACCTTCTACGCCCTGCAGTGGCTCTACCAGGCAGAGAGTAAGGCAGGGGCGAGACAGAGATGGGGGGAAAGGAGCAGGTTAGGCGCTGCCGTGCCTTGCAGTGGCTCTGCCAGGCAGAGAGTAAGGCAGGGGCGAGACAGAGATGGGGGGAAAGGAGCAGGTTAGGCGCTGCCGTGCCTTGCAGTGGCTCTGCCAGGCAGAGAGTAAGGCAAGGGCGAGACGGAGATGGGGGGAAAGGAGCAGGTTAGGCGCTGCCGTGCCTTGCAGTGGCTCTGCCAGGCAGAGAGTAAAGGAAGGGGCGAGACAGAGATGGGGGGAATGGAGCAGGTTAGGCACCTTCTACGCCCTGCAGTGGCTCTGCCAGGCAGAGAGTAAGGCAGGGGCGAGCGCGTGACGGAGATGGGGGGAAACTCGAGATCCTATACATGGCTGCTTACTCACCGTTCCCATAGCCGATCAACAGCTCGGCGTCGTCAAGCTCCTTGGGGTCCTCGACACCCTCGTGGTCGTTTCTTCTCTTGATGCCCAGTGCTGCTAGCACCTTCTTGCGAAGCCTTTTGGCTATGAGGCATCGAGTGTTCGTGTAAGTGACGGAGACCGTTTTCAGGGTTCGCTTGCATCGGAAAGTCCACAAAATCGATAGGTGTGGAGCAGCTGCCGGTGACATCATCTTTTTTAATCCACTTAGGGTTTCGTTGTCGTTGGGGTAAAACTGGATGCCGTTTGCGCTGTTTGTCCAGAAGAAACATGTTGCCAGCTTGCTGCAAAATTTCTGCCATGGAAGCAAGGTGATGCGCGAGTATGTAAACGTTATGAGGAGGTTTGTACTCAATACGTCCATGACAAACAAAAGAACCGCAAAGTTAGAGTTATGAGTACACTTGGGTTTAGAAAACAGGCGCATTCCGCATGACTCACCTGCCAGCCCCCGGTTTCCGCGTTGATGAAGTCGCGGGCAATTTCCTCCGGGGACTTCGCACGCACCGGCTCCTTCACCGGTTTAGACCCACCATCCTGAGTTCCGCCACCCTCCCCGTTGGCATCATGCTTGTCACATCCGGCACACCGCCTGCAGAGCTGCCCTAGCAGCTCATCCCGTAGTGCTTGCAGATCAGCCATTGTTGCATATGTATTTTGTGCAACCTTTTCAGCTACAGACGCGACAGCGCGCGGCCTGGGATGCCTGGCACTGATTCCAGGCCTTGGCACAGCAACCGGCCTTTGTGCACCAGTTGATGCTGCTGCATCGGATCCGCGAGAAGACCGGCCCCACCTATTTGCCATCCACTAATAAGCCACCCTCTCTGCCATCTCATGTGCTCACCACTCTATATGCCATCTCATGTGCTCGACACTCTCTCTGCCATCTCATGTGCTCACCACACTCTATGCCATCTCATGTGCTCACCACTCTATAAACCCATCTCATGTGATCACCACTCTCTCTGCCATCTCATGTGCTCACCCCTTTCTCTGCCATCTCATGTGATCACCACTCTCTCTGCCATCTCCTGTGCTCACCACTCTCTCTGCCATCTCATTTGCTCACCCCTCTCTCTGCCATCTCATGTGCTCGCCACTCTCTCTGCCATCTCATGTGCTCACCACTCTCTATGCCATCTCATGTAATCACCACTCTCTCTGCCATCTCATGTGATCACCACTCTCTCTGCCATCTCCTGTGCTCACCACTCTCTCTGCCATCTCATGTGCTCGCCACTCTCTCTGCCATCTTATGTGCTCACCACTCTCTCTGCCATCTCATGTGCTCACCACTCTCTATGCCATCTCATGTAATCACCACTCTCTCTGCCATCTCATGTGATCACCACTCTCTCTGCCATCTCCTGTGCTCACCACTCTCTCTGCCATCTCATGTGCTCGCCACTCTCTCTGCCATCTTATGTGCTCACCACTCTCTCTGCCATCTCATGTGCTCACCACTCTCTATGCCATCTCATGTCATCACCACTCTCTGTGCCATCTCATGTGCTCAACACTCTCTATGCCATCTCATGTAATCACCACTCTCTCTGCCATCTCATGTGCTCACCACTCTCTATGCCATCTCATGTAATCACCACTCTCTCTGCCATCTCATGTGCTCACCCCTCTCTCTGCCATCTCATGTGCTCACCACTCTCTCTGCCATCTCATGTGCTCACCACTCTCTCTGCCATCTCATGTGCTCACCCCTCTCTCTGCCATCTCATGTGCTCACCACTCTCTCTGCCATCTCATGTGCTCACCACTCTCTCTGCCATCTCATGTACTCACCCCTCTCTCTGCCATCTCATGTGCTCACCCCTGTCTCTGCCATCTCATGTGATCACCACTCTCTCTGCCATCTCCTGTGCTCACCACTCTCTATGCCATCTCATTTGCTCACCACTCTCTCTGCCATCTCATGTACTCACCCCTCTCTCTGCCATCTCATGTGCTCACCCCTTTCTCTGCCATCTCATGTGATCACCACTCTCTCTGCCATCTCATTTGCTCACCACTCTCTCTGCCATATCATGTGCTCACCACTCTCTCTGCCATCTCATGTGCTCACCACTCTCTCTGCCATCTCATGTGCTCACCACTCTCTCTGACATCTCATGTGCTCACCACTCTCTCTGCCATCTCCTGTGCTCACCACTCTCTCTGCCATCTCATGTGCTCGCCACTCTCTCTGCCATCTTATGCGCTCACCACTCTCTCTGCCATCTCATGTGCTCACCACTCTCTATGCCATCTCATGTAATCACCACTCTCTCTGCCATCTCATGTGATCACCACTCTCTCTGCCATCTCCTGTGCTCACCACTCTCTCTGCCATCTCATGTGCTCGCCACTCTCTCTGCCATCTTATGTGCTCACCACTCTCTCTGCCATCTCATGTGCTCACCACTCTCTATGCCATCTCATGTCATCACCACTCTCTCTGCCATCTCATGTGCTCAACACTCTCTATGCCATCTCATGTAATCACCACTCTCTCTGCCATCTCATGTGCTCACCACTCTCTATGCCATCTCATGTAATCACCACTCTCTCTGCCATCTCATGTGCTCACCACTCTCTCTGCCATCTCATGTGCTCACCACTCTCTCTGCCATCTCATGTGCTCACCCCTCTCTCTGCCATCTCATGTACTCACCCCTCTCTCTGCCATCTCATGTGCTTGCCACTCTATATGCCATCTCATGTGCTCACCACTCTCTATGCCATCTCATGTAATCACCACTCTCTCTGCCATCTCATGTGCTCACCACTCTCTCTGCCATCTCATGTGATCACCACTCTCTCTGCCATCTCATGTGCTCACCCCTCTCTCTGCCATCTCATGTGCTCGCCACTCTCTTTGCCATCTCATGTGCTCACCACTCTATATGCCATCTCATGTGCTCACCACTCTCTCTGCCATCTCATGTGCTCGCCACTCTCTATGCTTGCAGTCTTCATTATGGCTGTGGGACGCTTTTGGGAAGCCGTGGGGAAATCCATACATATGCATTATGCTGGACATAATGCATCAAGCCGATTTGGGGATTCTACACCACCTTGTCTCTGCCATCCGCGCCACTTACAGCTGGTTTCTTCCCTTGTTCGACGGGTGAGTGTACGGTGTTGCTGGGTCAATTATGTCGGCTGTTGTAACTACGGACCAATTTTCAGATTGCTGTGACATATGAGTGGGACAGTGCATCAGAGACTTCCCGTGTATTCCGTAACCATGTTCATTTGTGTCATGCTCAGGCGCTTGAAATCTCTAAGAGAGGGCATTCGCATGACTCATCTGCGGCTCCCCAACTCCACGTACTTCGTGTCCGATGCGCAAGTGGCGGCGTTCGAGCACCGATCTGTCATGCAGGCATGTGTATTGAATGTGTGACCGTTTGATAGCAACTACCCGGCCCCTCCCACGCTTGCTCTGTTACTCGCTCCATGTCAAAGCAATGTTCACCCTGAACTTTGTATTCCCTAAATCTTATTCACAGGTGCTGATCTTTGTGGTCGCGGACAAGCTTGGGGACCTGCAGTTGGGTGCCATTCGAGCATACCTTGAGTGGTATCTGTATTGCGCACGGCTCCCAGGGCACACGGAGAGCACACTGCAGCGTTTGCAGGAACTGACGGACGAGTGAGCTCTAGCCATTTCCCCGTTCATGCATAGCTTTGAGCTCGTGTGATCCTTAGTTTGTGTTATACATGTGCACTAGGCATAAGTTTTTTTTTTAGCAACATGCACACAATGGGTTCTGAACAGTGCAAACTCCTTCATCATATCATGTTGGTTTTGAGTGCTTTGATACCCTTCAATTCACAGGAGTGACATAATCCAGGAGGGTTGGAGGGCCAGAGGCATGCGTGGGGCTCTGTACATGGGTCGTTGTTTATAGCGTACACCTCAATCCACACTCCTAGCCTTACAAGCCCCTTTGTATGACCTTCTTACCGTGAAACTGACAGGTAAAGGGAGAGCCGGATGGAGGGAGTGGGATAGGTGTACAAGAGGGAGCTCTGTTTGTGTTGCCATCTCTCAAATCCTTGCCCTTCTTTCCGTGGCGTCACAGGGAAAAAGAGAGCCGGATGGAGGGTGTGGCATAAGTGTGCTTCAAGCTTTGTTTGGCTACCCAAATTTCAGTTTCACTCTCCGCCGTTGAATGCTTCAAAATCCTTATGCACACATCCCGTTTCCCCATCCCCACCCTCTACAGTCTTGTGGCTAAGTTGCAAGCCGCATTTCCGACACAAAAATCCAGTTGGTGCATCATTAAAACTCACCTCCTCTCCCATTATGTGCCCGCTATTTGGAGGGCGGGGCATGTGTCGGAGTACTCTACGAACATGTGGGAGCACTTGCACGGCCCCCTTCTTAAAAGAATCTACCGCCGTTCAAACAAGCGTAACGCCGACGCCCAAATCATGAAAAAGCACGAGAAAAATGTGGCTTTTATCACATTGGAAGACGAGGAGGGGGTTTGCTACACCATCATGCAACAGGTAACTAACACTAGCTAAGATCCTGTATTTGTTGAATCTGACTACCCATACTCTCAACCTACTCTCTGCCCTCCCATGCCCTCACCCTCATATCTGCCCTCCCGAATCGTCACACTCATCTCTTCCCTCCCATGCCATAACTTTCAACCCTTCCCTCTCATGCCCTCACGCTCCTCTCTGCCCTCCCATGCCCTAACCCTACTCTCTGCCCTCCAATTCCCTCACCCTCCTATGTGCCCTCCCGAACCGTCACCCACCTCTCTTCCCTCCTATGCCGTCACCATCCTCTTCCTTCTCATGCCCTCACCCTCATCTCTTCCATCTAATGCCATCACCTTTCTTTCTGCCCTCCCATGCCCTCACCCTCCTCTCTTCCCTCCCATGCCTTCACCCCCCTCTCTTCCCTCCCATGCCCTCGCCCTACTCTCTGTCCTCCCATGCCCTCACTCTCCTATCTGCCCCCCCAAACCGTCACCCTCCTCTTTTCCCTCCCATGCCGTCACACTCCTTTCTGCCCTCCCATGCCCTCACCCTCCTCTCTTCCCTCCCCCTCCTTCACCCCCCTCTCTTCCCTACCATGCCCTCGCCCTACTCTCTGTCCTCCCATGCCCTCACTCTCCTATCTGCCCTCCCGAACCGTCACCCTCCTCTTTTCCCTCCCATGCCATCACACTCCTCTCTGCCCTCCCATGTCCTCACCCTCCTTTCTGCCCTCCCATGCCCTCACCCTCCTCTCTTCCCTCTCATGCCCTCGCCGTCCTCTCTGTCCTCCCGTGCCGTCCCTCTCCTACCTGCCCTCCCGAACCGTCACCCTCCTCTTTTCCCTCCCATGCCGTCACACTCCTCTCTGCCCTACCATGGCCAAACCCTCCTCTCTTCCCTCTCATGCCCTCGCCCTCCTCTCTTCCCTCTCTTGCCCTCGCCCTCCTCTCTGACCTCCCATGCCCTCACCCTCCTCTCTGCCATCCCATGCTCCCACCCTCCTACTCTGCCCTCCCATACACTCACCCAACTATAAACCCTCATCAACCTCCCTGGTCTAAGGTCTTCCGCGTTCCCGAATTTATATCCGAATCCCCACTCACCACACCATAGGCGATGGACACAGGACGAGCGGTCTTGACGAGGGAATCCGAAGCACTTGCAGTTTCTCCTGCAAGTGACCCGACATCCGCTAAGTTCTTCGCATCGTGGTGGTCGCGGCAGCACCCACGTGCACACAGAGCATTGCAGAATGCTCTTGCAGATTACGGTTGTACCGCGCAATCCATTCAAGTACGTTTCATGGTTTTCAATGTTTTTTTTTTATTATTATTATGTTCTTCTTCGATCTGCCATTTGTTAAGCAACATAATCCTCACACGTACACATACTAATGCGTCTTGCGCGGTCTTGTGGCAGACCCACACAACAATGGCAGTGCCAGCGTCAACCGACAAGAACGCCTCAAGGGTAGCTCATTTCGTGAGAGCAACCCCCGAGTGCCATAAGAGACCTTGGTTTTCAGACATCGCTGTTTGGTGTGAGGGCGAGAGAGTGGCCTACGCAAAACTGCTGTTGCTATTCCATTGTTTCATTGAAGGACAACGCCATAATCTTGCATACGTAGATTTCTATAGAACAGAGGACGTGGACGCAAAGACTGGATGTGTGCGGTTGAGTTCATACAATCCCCGCGCGTTCACCGTCATCCCCATAGATTCTATTCTAGGTCATGTCCACGTCGTGAAGTCTTTTGATCCTGCTAATGTTGATGTATACTTCATGAATAAATACATAATTTCATGAAGTATCCAATTGTTTTAAGCATTTGACATTTAGTAGTATCGATAATTATTTCACCAAATTCAAAATCTGGTTATTTTACCACTTAACTGATACTTAGTCATAACCAGGAACCTAAAAGGAGATGTAAAACCTTGTCATACAACCAATTGGCTATTGAAATGTTATGAATGTGCCTTATAAACAATTAGAAACATATACGAAGCAACAGGGGTAATGCGTATAGTGTACGCATCTCTAATTATTTCAATTATGCATCAATATTACGCCACTCTTCCTGGCTAGGAATTTCCACCGGAAAACCGAGGGAAATCAGGTGATTCCGTTTGACACTTGGTTCATCTCTGACGCGACTCGGAATCCTTTTCAAATCTTGGCGAAACTCAGCCTGGCTGGCGGTTTTCCATCCGAAAGCCGTTGAATTCACGGCTGGAAAACCAGTGGAAATCCAGTAGCCCATTTTTGCCGCGTGAAACCCTCGGAACCTCCAGACACCGAACCAGGTTTTTTGTGATGGCGACACGATGATACTCTGAAACATGTGTTCAGTACGGTTCACCCGTAAGTCTCGCAGTCATTCTAGGCTAAATGCCGCGCATATCGTTAGGAGTTCACTTGAATCTACCACAGGCTGAAAGGCAGAGATGGAATGGACGCCATGATGACTGTTGGGGGGAGAAATTTCAGTGGAAACTGGAGCCTAGTTGGGTTGTTTTGCTTCGGAAAATGATCCAACTCCGCTGAACCGAACGGAAGCGCTGGGGTGGGGAACTCGATCTGTCACATCAAAATATCGCGTTCTTGGGCCCCGCGTCGAGCAGACTTATGTGACTGGTGTGTTATATGCGTAAATGTTTTCTTCCTACTCTGCCCCTGGAGCCACGCTGCCCTTGCAGCCTGCACGCTGCCCCTGCGACCGCGTTGCCCCTGCAGCCGTGCTCGCCCCTGCGACCGCGCTGCCCCTGCAGCCGTGCTCGCCCTTGCGACCGCGCTGCCCCTGCAGCCGTGCTCGCCCCTGTGACCGCGCTGCCCCTGGAGCCGTACTCGCCCCTGCAGCCGTACTCGCCCCTGCGACCGTGCTGCCCCTGCAGCCGTGCTTGCCCCTACGACCGTGCTGCCCCTGCAGCCGTGCCTGCCCCTGTAGCCCACGTGCTGCCTCTGCAGCCCGCGCGTTCGCCCCTGCAGCCCGTGGGCGCTGCCTCTGCAGCCCGCACGCCACCCTGCCGAGCCGCGCGTCGCCCCTGCAGCCCGTGGGCACTGCCCCTGCAGCCCGCGCGCCGCCCTGCCTAGCCGCGCGTTGCCCCTGCAGCCCGTGGGCGCTGCCCCTGCAGCCCGTACGCCGCCCTGTCGAGCCGCACGTCGCCCCTGCAGCCCGTGGGCTCTGCCCCTGCTGCCCGTGCGCCGCCCTGCCGAGCCGAGCGTCGCCCCTGCAGCCTGGGCGCCGCCCTGCCGAGCCACGCGCCGCCCCTACAGCCCGTACGCCGCCCTGCCGAGCCGCACGTCACCCCTGCTGCCCGCGCGCCGCCCTGCCGAGCCGAGCGTCGCCCCTGCGGCCTGGGCGCCGCCCTACCAAGCCGCGCGCTACCCCTACAGCCCGCGCGCCGCCCTGCCGAGCCGCGCGTCACCCCTGCAGCCTGTGGGCGCTGTCCCTGCAGCCCGCGAGCCGCCCTGCCAAGCCGCGCATCGCCCCTGCAGCCTGCGCACAACCCCAAACCCTTAATATATATATATATATATATATATATATATAGATACAACTACTGCTGCTGCTACTCGTACTACTGCTGCTGCTGGTGGAGGTGTTGCTGGGAGTGCTAGAGGTGCAGCTGGTGCTGGAGGAGCTGGAGGTGTTGGACCTACTCCTGACCATCGCTGTCTGTCGTGGCCACTATCGTGGCAGTTGCTGCGGCCAGGGGTGGACAGCAGCGGGCACTGCCTCTCCTGGACGACCCCACCCCTCAGCAGCTCCGTGAGTAGGTTGTTTAGTGAGGCAGGCCTGATGGTGGAGGTTTTGATTTTCTGTGGCCTAAGCGACGTCGCGACTGTGCTTCTCAGCGAGGCGTCTCTGGCTGTGTAGAGGTTCTTGCTCTCGGTTCTAGTGAGTCTGCTGCCGCCCCAGGTGCTAGTGAGTCTGCTGCCGCTCCAAGTACTAGTGAGTCTGCTGCAGCTCTAGGTGCCCGTGAGTCTGCCGACACTCTAGGTGCTAGTGCGTCTACTACCACAGGTCCTGCCTCAGCTGAGGTCTTGTACACTTTCACGCTTGACTCAGGCGCATCACGTTGCTTCTTTCGTGATTGCACCATAGTCACACCACTCACAACACGTGTCCTAGTCTCACTAGCTGACCCCTCTGGGGGCCCAGTAGTTGCGAGAGCCTCCACGGTCCTCCCTTGTCCAGCAGTCCCGTCTGGCTCTCTGTCAGGTCTCCACCTCCCCACGATCTCGACGAACTTGGTGAGCAACGCTGCCAATCAGGATGTCTGGGTTGATACCTTTATTCTTGGAGGGCAGCGCGTGGCGATCTGTACGTGCTCTTGGACTGGCTGTCACATGGCTACGTTCACTCAACAGCCTGGGTCTAGTCTGTACACACTGACCACTACGTCTGCACAGGTGGCTGAGTCAGGTCAGGTGGCCGCGTCGAGTCGGGCGTCTTCGACGGGACAGTTAGCTGCGCCTTGCTCGTGCAGATTACTCACGCACGAGACTCAGCGCTGGCACCACCGTCTTGGTCACCCCTCCCTGCCGCGTCTACGCAGCATGCACTCCCGTCTCCTTGTCTCTGGCCTCCCAAGGACCCTGCCCCCCTTGCCGTGCTCGCTTGCCCCACCGTGCCTTCTTTGTGTCGAGGGGCGGCAGCACGCCGCTCCTCACTCCTTCGAGTTTCCTCCGACCACTGCTCCTCTGCAGACTCTCCACATGGATGTGTGGGGCCCGGCCCCCATCGGTGGAACGGACCGCGAGCACTACTTCCTGCTGGTTGTTGACGACTACACACGCTACACCTCTCTCTTCCCTTTGCGGCGCAAGGCGGATGTCAGCAATGTCATGATCTCCTGAATCCGTGCTACTCGTCTCCAGCTACATGAGCGGTTTGAGCAGGACTTCCCAGTCCTGCGTCTGCACTCTGAAAGGGGCGGTGAGTTCTCCTCTAACCTCCTTGCGGGGTTCTGTCGAGACGAAGGCATCCGCCAGACGTTCACGCTTCCGGCCTCTCCTCAGTAGAATGGGATTGCTGAGCGTCGCATTGGCTTGATCATGGAGGTTGCTCGCACCTCCATGATCCATGCGGCTGCTCACCATTTTCTGTGGCCGTTTGCGGTCCGATACTCTGCGCATCAGCTCAACCTCTGGCTCTGTGTCTCTGTGCCAGAGACCTCGCCCACCCTCCGGTGGACGGGGAAGCCTGGTGATGTGTCAGTGTTTCGGGTCTGGGGCGCACTCTCCCTTGTTCGCGATTCCAAAGCGAGCAAGCTCTCCTCTCGCACTCTCCGCTGCGTCTTCCTTTGCTTCCCCACTGACGTCCCGCCGTGGGAGTTCTACCAACCGCGCTCGCGTCGAGTCTTCTCCTCCCAGGACGTCACCTTTGACGAGTCTGTCTGTTACTACCAGTTACACCCGCATGCGTCCCACCCGGTCCCCCTCGCACCCCTCTTCCTGGTACCAGTCCCCCCCCTGGTAGACCCCCTCCCCCCATAGGGTCCTGCTCCCTCAGGTGTGTCTCAGGTCGACCCACCCCCCTTGGATGAGCCAGTGGAGATCTCTTCAGACTCCTCTGGCCTAGCTGAGGGGGGTGATCCAGTTGCGGACGACACAACGGCCATTCGCCGCTCTCCACACTTGGAGACCCCCCCGGGTTTTCCGCCTCGACAGTCTTTGCCGCCTCCGCAACCTACTGCTGTGGACACTAGAGCTGAGACTACAGGTGCTGAGACTGGGGGTGCTGAGCTAGGGTGTGAGGGCTCTGGAGGTGCTGTGCTTGGGAGTGCTGGTTCTGGGGGTGCTGCGACTGGGGGTGCTGACTCTAGGGATGCTGCGAGTCCTAGTGGCAGTGGAGTTGTGGGTGACCCTGTTAGAGGTCCTGGAGCTGGAGGTACTAGAGTTGCTAGGCCTGGAGGTACTGCTGTAGGTACTAGAGGTGCTACTGGTGCTGGAGGTACTGGAGCTAGAGGTACTAGAGGTGCTTCTGGTGCTGGAGGTGCTAGAGCTACCACTACTGGAGGTACTGGAGCTGGACAGCCACCGCAGCCTGCGCTACTTGAGACGCTCTCACCGCAGGCGATTCGTGCACGGGTCGTTCGGCGAGGCAGTCCCAGTGGTGGAGGGTACGGTCCTGCTGGTGCTGGAGCTACTAGTCCTGGAGGTGCTGCTGGTGCTGCAGGTGCTGGTGGTACTACTAGAGGTACTAGAGGTGCTGCTGGTGCTGGAGGTACTGGAGCTGCTAGGCGTGGAGGTACTACTGTTCGTACTGGAGGTGCTACTGGTGCTGTAGGTACTAGAGCTTCTAGGCCTGGAGGTGCTGGAGGTGCTGCTGGTGCTGGAGGTACTGGAGCTGCTGGTGGTGCTGGAGGTCCTGGAGCTGGAGGTCTTGGAGCTGCTAGTATTGGAGTTGCTAGGCCTCAAGGTACTACTGTTCGTACTAGAAACTGGAGGTGCTACTGGTGCTGTAGGTACTGGAGCTACTAGGCCTAGAGGTGCTGGAGGTGCTGCTGGTGCTAGAGGTATTGGAGCTGCTACTGGTGCTGGAGGTCCTGGAGCTGGAGGTCCTGGAGCTGGAGGTCCTGGAGCTGCTAGTACTGGAGGTGCTGCCGGTGCTGGAGGTACTGGAGCTGGAGGTACTGGAGCTGCTGGTGCTGGAGGTACTACTGTTCCTGGAGGTGCTGGGGGTACTGGAGCTGCTGGCACTAGAGGTGCTGGTACTACTGGTGCTAGAGCTGCGGGAGC